GGCACTGGATCCCCTGGAACTGGAGTTACAGATGGTTGTGAGCCACCATGAGGATGCTGGGAGTCAAACCTGGATCCTCTAAGAGAAGAGTGTCTTAAGCACTGAGCCACTGCTCTAGCTCTGCTTTCACTGATTTTTAGCCTCAGGCCTCTGATGACAGTTAGCCAGGGGAAAGCTTTGGACTATATCCATTTTTTCCTAGGCATAGCAGAAATAACCCATCCTCCAAGAGTGACTGATGACGGTTCAGGTTAATGGGCAGCGTCTTTACAGTGGTCCAGTGAGGACAAAGGAGGAAGGTCAATAAGAGACAACAGAAGATCAGCAACATCTGCTTCATCTAAATAATTTAAGATAAGGACAGAAAGGCTCAGAGAGAGACTGAGAACCTTGCCCCAACACATAGTTAATTAATGGGTGATACAGCTTTGTGGCCCACACTTCTCCACTACAACTCATGGCTTCCATGTGGCCATGGAAAGCACTGACTCAGCAAATGCCCACGATACCACTGAAGTTCTGCCCAACTCAGAATTCACACCCCTCACCTAGTTTCCTTCAGATGGCGCTTCCAACATCCTGGTGTCACCTTACCCAATTCCAAAACTGTGCTGCTATGACGCAAACTGAGACAGGTCAGGGCCAAAGCTGATTACCCTGTGCTCCAACAATGTGTCTACTCGGCAGAACAACTTGAAGTAAACACACCCATGTTTTAATCATGACCATTGTTTTGGGTGGATCATCTCTGGAACTGTCTATACCTTTTATGTTTCCTCAGTAAAGTCTGTGCTACTTATCTCTCCCATAGACAGAGAGAAAATATTCACACAGATGTCACTTTGCAAGGTGACAATGGGAACCAGCAGCTACAATAATTTGCACTGGAGACCTCTCTACCCCCAGGGTGATGCCTGCAGTCCTCATATCCGCCCTGCTCTTATCTGGACAGGTCCCTGCAGACTCAGCTTGACTTAGCCTTGGTGTAGGCTGGCACTTTACAAAGGCATCCCCTGAAATCCAGGAAACAATCCACTCTGGTGACAGAATATTATCATAGGCAGGAGGGATGAAGACCAAAGCAGTGGTAGAGCAAACAGCAAGCACCAATCTGGACAAGATTGGTGGTGCTTACAGCCCTGGGTCAGACATCCCGTCCAGGACTTTAGCCTCAGCACACCTATGTTCCCATCAGTATCTTATATGAGCACCAGAGAACCCCTATGAGCTGTAAAAAGTCTCACTGGGATCTCTATGCACCTAGCCACAACATCATTAGCCAAGGCAAAAGACAAGACCCTGAGACAGCAGGAATCACACTTATGTCTTCATTCAAAGGACCAGCCTCAATTTCACTGCTGAGACATCTTTTACATGTGCAGAACAATTCCAAGTTCCCAGTTTAGCAAGACTGTGAGCTTGGTGTCCCAAATCAACCAGCTTAATGGTCAACAGGGCACAGAATGAATGTAGCTCCAAGCTTTTCTGCTCTAGATACATCTGGAAGGCAGAAATGCCATTCATGTGCTTTCTCAAAAATCAATAGACTCAGAGAATACCTAAGGGTACCATCTCCCTTTCCCCTTTCAGTTTCTGGCCATCCATCCAATACTAAATGCCAGAAGAAAAGGTAAATGAGGAACAAGTTACTGTCGAGGTTTGCTCATTCAAGACAGCAGTGTCTGAGTCAAAAGATTCGAATCCACTTCCCTTTGCACCTCACCCTTGCCCTCTTGTCCTGCCCAACAAGAGCCAGCTTTCAGAGAGCACCCTCAGTCTTGATACAGATCACAAAGTATTTTCAGCATCAGATCAAAATGTGTTGAGCATCTTGCATTTGGTTGTTTTAAAACTTGGCTTTTGAAACGAGACACATATGGCAACTGTGGGTGAACCACAGCCACCCAGTCCCCCGACAAAACGTGTGTGTGTGTGTGTGTGTGTGTGTGTATGTGTGTGTGTGTGTGTGTGTGTGTGGTAGAGCTTTCAAGAGAAGATTAACTGCATCTAGCTAAGACTCAGCAGCCATCACCTCTAATTAGGTCCCTTCCTTTCAGTTTGGTAACACTCAATGGCTCAGACCATTCTCAGAATTTCTAAGAATGTTGTCCTCATTCTTATGAAATACTGTCTGCCCTGTGTCACACGGTCCAGGACTCCAAGGCTTCCAGGAACAACCTCTTCCTTGTAGTCAAGCTCAGTCGTCTGCAAGAGGGTCTGAGTTTCTCCCCTCATTCCCCAGTTGGGAGCACAGAGCAGAGTGGGAAATGTCTGACTCAGGCTGTGTCTTGTAGTGACAGAGCTCATGTCTGGCAGTTCAGACTCAAGACACCCTAGAAGTTCTTGAAAGGTGACTGACAGTGGGGGAGAGAGTAGGAGACCTGGACTGAATCTTTTCAGAAGATAACACATTGTTTTCAGTCCTGTCTCCTCTCTGGCCTTGGGTACCAGACAGATAAGCACAGGAGACAATTCTCGGGCCTCACCCACTGGTTCTTATCTAATGTACCATATTTTCTAGCTGGGTCAGGAAATGACTATGGGTTCCGACTCAAGAAAGAAAATAGCCCATGGAGACTTCCACTTTGTTTAATGGAACCAACACAAGCCCGGCCTGGTCAACACAGCTTTCCAACAGAAAGGAAGTTGCTCAGGGAGACAGATATGGCAAGACCGAACAAGAGCAGCCTGGGCCCTTTTTGATGTCACTGGATTAGGTCTCTGATACCCAACATCCAGGCAGTCACCCTGCCTCTGTAAAACATCACCCCCATATGCTATGAGCTTCCATTCAAGCCTTCTCTTTGGGTAGCTGGCATAGGCTTCCCACTCATTTCCTCTTCCAGTTGAATATTCTGGCTTCTTGGTCCCCACTGCCGTCAAGATACCAAAACAGAAATCATTCTCATCTCAAACTGACCACTGCCCCTTAGGCTCTGACCTTATTTCTGGTATAGTCTTTAATTTGGACTCTTCTTCCCCAAGACCAGAAGTAGAGGCCAAATAGTCACACAGTACTGGGAATTGGGGAGACCCAGGCCAGCTGCATGGGGTCTCTGTACTTCCTGCAAACTGCAATCTTGATTTCCAAGGTCACACATTTTGGCTAGGAACTTAGAGAACAGTCTGGATGCCAAAACCAAAGGTAACTAAGAGCTTTTCAGAAAGGATATCACAGGCTACAATTTGGGGGATTCCTGCCTCAAGGAAGCTCTCCCCACGACTGAAGGTTAAGCCAGGTAAGTAGGGCTGCTCTGTGAGAGGCACACTCTGGTGAATGCCAGAGGAAGCCACTTTGGTTCCTCTGAAGAGTCTTGGGTCTCGGCAGGCAGGGCCTCGCCTTTCACAGGCATAACCAAGATCAGTGGAGATGCAGCCACTATGGATGTGTGTTCCAGGATGGCCCCTAATTGATAGCCAGGAGCCTCTCAAGTCTCCGTCCAGAAATTATCTCACTCCCTAGAAATCCCAATACTTTTGGGGAGCATAGGGTTAAATTCACTGAGCACTATATCGTTTTTGATGTACAGGAAAATAAAGTACAGTTGACCTAGTATCCGTGGATGCTCAGCTGCCTTTGGCCTGTAAGTCCCCACTATTCTTCTTTCCCACACGCTTTCCCTTAAGCCTCTAATCCCTGCTCTGGAGGCTTGTGGGTTTCCTTGGGAAGAAAGAAAATACACACCAAAATAAAAAAAGATCCTGGAGCCTGACTGTGTTTAAAGTGTGACATCCATTTCGTTTTATTGCCATCTTAACAAAAATACGTGAGAAGGCCATCTTGGGTTCCAGACAGGGCAATTCCAGGCACCAGACTATTACTGGATAAGACAATGTTCACTTTGAGGGGGCAGGAGCCCCCAAAGAACCACAAATTCAGGTGATGGAGCCCAGGGCCCAGAGCCCAGGGCCATGGCAGGTGCCATCCATCTGTTCGCCTCATGTAGGACAAAGCACGGTGTGTTTATAAACAGCTCTAGCAACAGCCTCAGTGGGTACTGGGTCCAATAGGCTTCCAGGTCCACTTAGTCTCTTAGGGGGAAGGGAAGGGTGCAAAAGGTCTGCCAGGGTCAGCCTCAGGCCAAGGAGCGATGACAAAGCTGCACCTAGGTCAGTTAAGCTTTTGGCTTAGTCTCCCTCCCTAACTCTAAGAACCCAGCTCTCTGATCATGCCCGCTAAACGAAACACAAAGCTGGAAGTGTATGTGGCTAAGTGAATATACAGCCCAAGCAAGCACAGGCAAGGCATGCTGGGAGGTGGTCTGGACACGGCCTTATTGGGGTCTGGCCTTATTAGGAGCCAAGTGAGTAGACAGTCTGCCCGCTGGCTCCTGAGGCCTGGGCTCAGGACCTCCCCAGCACGCTCTGTAAGACCCAGGGCCATGGCAGGCTGGCAGACTCATCTCCATGATGTTTTTGTTCCCTCTTCCAACTGTAGGACCTGAGGCAGAGGTGAGGAGCAGGATTCCCATCTATAAGCACTCCAGGTCTGGCCTCTTGAAGAAAGTTGCCCGGGTCCACAGTCCTGGTCCCCACTACATGACTGTGTCACCTCTGACCCCTGAGATAGATGGTAATGATTGGAATGACCAGTAATCGGTGATTGTAAAGACTGACCTGGCTGCCTCCACACTGTTCAGAAAGCTCCCTGAGATGACCTGCCATGGGCAGGTTTGGGGAAAAGCTTACAGTGTGCTAAGACTCAAAATCATCTATTTTCCCTCATCAGCGCGGCTCCCCACTCTCCTTCCCTCCACAAAAGGCAAGCACAGCAGCTGAGCAAGGCAGGGCAAGCATAGGGCCAAGGCCGGGCCCCTCCCACCCGGCCGAGCTAGCCCCGCCCACCCACAGACCTGGGTCAGGGCAGAATCAGGACCTGAGAGGTCAGCTGTGCTGCAGCCCTGAGTTGGAAGCAAGATTCTGTTGGATGCTGCCCCTTGCCCCAGCAAGGCCTGCTCCACAGGCCACAGGCCACAGGCCATGAGGAGAGCAAGCCTCTAGGCCAAGCAAGCATCAAGCAGGAAGCTTCTTGTGTCTTGAGCATCTTCCTGAGATAAGAGGGCGTGCTCTGCTATAGCACGGGAGGCTGGACTGCACCAGGTGAGGAGATGACTGTGCCCCCAGGGTCATCAGTCTTGTTTCTGGACCCAGGAGACTTCCCCCATCTCAAGGCCAGACACCACAGCCATCGCTCCTCCATGTGCAAGCTGGCCAAGTTAGAAACTGTGCTTTCTCTTTCGAGACCTGGTAGTCCGTGTGGGGGCTGGTTCTGGGGCAGTTGGTGTAAGGTCCAGCAGGGGTGCCTGAGTCTGGGAAGTAGAGGTCACGGGGGCTGGCCCTTCTTGCCCCCGCTGAGATGCCTGAACTGCATCCCGGATCTCCATCAGTGTCTCACACATCTGACCAACACGGCTGTTCAGCTCAGCCATGGCCTGGCTGATGACATGCATGTTGTCGGCCATGTCCTGGTGCACGGTCACCAGCTCCTGGCAGAACTGCTGGAACATTTCAGTCTGGTGGGCATGGGCATGGAGGAGATGCCAGTCTAGGCCCATGGTAGGTGAGCTGGGATGTGGTTCTGGGGTCCTGAAGGCCTGGGCCTGGGGTGAGGGTTGGGGCAGGACCTCTGGCTTAGGGCCCAACATCCTGGACTGGTCTGAGGAAGATGAACAGAGCAGCGTGGGGCTGGCCAGTTTGGCCTCTTCTTCTGGAGGATGTAGTAGGGGTATTCGAAGAGGCTGCTGTGAGGGCCCAGGAGCCTCCTCATCTTCATCATCTTGGGGCGTACAAGGAGAGAAGGACAGATGATTATGAAAAGGAAAGAAAGGGCATCCGTGGTCATGGACCCACATCTGAAAACTCCCTACTGCCCCCCCTCCACCCCTCAGCCTACCATTGGTACCACCTCTGGAGAAATGCCAGCTCCTAAATCCCTGAGGTGAGTAGGTCAGGCATGCGGTGAAGGGTGAGGAGATGCTGGCTTACTTCTTCCCACAGACGTAGCTGTGAGATGAAGGAGTCCAGTCTGAGGACCTAGAGTCCCCAGTTCCAGTGGCAGCCATGCCAATCTAAGGGCTCATGATCTTGATGGTGTCACTGTATTTCACTTCAGAGGAGCAATAACAACTGCTCTGCTGAACCCCTGGGGCCCCTGGCTGGGCTGTCAGTTGGGCTGTGAGATCCCAGACCCTTACAGTGTATTGCAGGGTGGAAAGCACTATCCCCTGTGAGAGGGTCTAAGCTGCTCTCTTAGTAGCTCCAGACTCCACAAGCGAGGCACTTTCAAAGCTGCTTGGGGCCACCTTGTGGCCTGGCTGGAATCCTAACTTAAAAGTCACTACAGGGAGATGCCAAAAGGCTGGAGATGGGAGGGAAGGGCTGGAGCAGGATTATGTGGGGTAAGCCACCAGTCCTGTTGTCCCCTGCGGTGGGCTATGAGGTCAGGCATACCATGGCCTGACTGCATCCATGAGCACTCCATTACACAGGTCCCTTGGGGGCTCGTGGGGCTGGCACAGTGAGAGCATGCTCAGTAAGTGGCAGCCAACCTCCTGGGATGCCAGACAGGGTGCGCAGGAGCACTCTGATATGTCATTGCTCCTTTTCCAAGCCCTCAGGCCATTAAGGCCCCAGTCACTAAAGCTGCTGACTGTTAGTAGATTTGGGGGCTCCTGCAGCCCGGGTTACCTCGGCTAACCTCGTCATTTTTGACCTCTAGGAGATGGATAAGTAAACAGGGCAGGATTCAGGAAATAGACTTTTCTGGATACTGCCCACCCCGAGGCTTCAGCAAACCCTGGCAGATCCAGGCTCAAGTCTGGTTCTGACGTCTCAGGACCACCTCCCTTTTCTGGAAGATTGTTTTCCTCAGCTGGCTAACCAGGAAGTCTGCCTCATCATGAACACTCTTTTCTACTCCTGAGGCTGACTTTGTGAGTGGCCACCTGTCGGAGGCCTCGGCCAAACAGGAAATGAGCAGATCCCCATGGCAAAGGGCCAGGGAGGAAGGCAGACTGTGAACCACCTTCCCACTGGCTGAGTGCTGGACACAAGAGCCTCCGTGAATCCTCCTGCTGGGCTCCTAGCCTCCGTTGAGGACAGTGGATGAGGACGGGTGTGGGTGTGTGAAGATGAGGGAGGGGAGGGGTGAAGTTCTTCAGGAAGGGACTCTACGGCTCCCCCTTCTGGTGAACTCCCAGTAGAAAGGCAGTGCTAAAGTCCCAGGAAGCAAAGGTGGGAGAACACAGGAAACAGAAGATGGGGCAGGGGAGCCGGAAGAGAACAGGGAGGGAGCCCAAGCCAGTTTCAGGTGAGCACCAAGAGGCTCAGACTAAAGAGAAGTAGATCAAGTTCAGAGGACTGGAGAGCAGATGACACGGCCAAGGCTGACCAAGTGACCAGGCAATCACAGGAAGGTCTTTCTCTGGCCCAGCCCTGACACTTGGCTGCTGCAGTGGTGCCCCTCCCCCTGCTGGCCATTCTGGGGCTTCCCTGGCTTCTGCAGTTCCTGGAACGTGCCAAGCGCCTTCCTGATGTGGGCCCTGTACATGCTGTTCCCAGCCTGCCTGCCCTCCCCTCCCCTCCCCTCCTGTGCGCCTCGCACCAGGCCTGGTTAACTCTTCCACATCCTTCAAACATCCTCCTCAGCCAGGCTTGGCCTGGTCTTTTCTACAGCTTCAGCTTCTCCTGCCATGTGCTTTGCAGACTCAGCACAGATTGAAGACGCTGGGCCCCACTGACTACAGAGCAGCAGACCCAGTGTGGGCCCTGGGGAACACACAAGTCTAAGGCTGGAAATCTGGGATGTCCCGGGCTGGGTCAGCCCTTTCCTCTAAGGTGGACAATAATCTAACTCAAGCAGGCATGTCTAACCTTTTGACATTGCAGCACCTACAAAGTTCCTGGCTCCAGGCACCATAAACAAACAAGCAAACAAGTAAATGTAATTGCTTTAAACAAGCTTATGATTTGGGTTAGTCCACCTTCATAGCTATGTGCTTGTGGCCCGAGGGCCACAGTCTATATGCATAAGCTTGCTTAGTCCTACAAGTGTCTGTGTAGGTTTTAGATGTAGCCCTGTCCTTCCTGCTCCCAAGCCAGCTTCTGGCACAGAATGGACGTACAAGGAGTGGAGACAGGACAGAGGTAGGATGGGGTCATGGAAAGAGTCAAAGAGACGGGGAGGGTCCCGAGCTAGAAAGGGAATGGGTGTACCTAAGGAAGCAATCCCCAACACTCAGGCCGTGGACAGGCATCGATACTTACAGCTGGTAGAAGGGCTGTCGGTACCGTCCAGTTCTGCCCTGGGGAAGCTGTGTCCAGCCCTGGCAGTAAGCAGTGCCGACTTGATGGCCCTCTCCTGGGCAGTGAGGAGGATGGGATGGGTGTGGCCCCCGATCCCTGGGCCCGACAGTGACTGCTGCATGAAGACCAGCTTGTCCTTGGTCCTGCGCTTCATGTCATCCCATCTGTGCTTAATGTCCTTGATGGAGCGGGGCACCTGGCTGACGGAGGTGACTTTCCGAGCTATGCCTTCCCAAATCTTGTCCCTGTCAGCGTGGGACAGTCGAATGGTCTCTCTCCCAAAGAGAACCGCTTCATGACGGGTCACCTCTGTGACCAGAATGTCCAGCTCCTCCTTGGAGAACTTAGGCTTCCTCTTACGCTCAGCCAGGGGCAGCATGTTCCTTGGGTTGAATATCCCACAAAGCATAATTGGGTAAATGACCGTCAGTGAGGGTGGTCCTCCTCCTTCCTAATCACAGGCCCCACCTGGGAAGCCTGGGGCCACCTGGGCCCCTCCACACCCTCCTCCTACAGTGATGCCTTTCCCTCCCTCCTCCTCAGAGGGAAGGCAGGAAGGAGGTGGTAAGGAGCCTGGTGAGTGCAGGGTAGGGCTACCCTACCTCTCATCAGCCTCGAGCACCAGGCAGTTCAAGTTTATTCGACCTTTGCTGGCTCCTTCTCCCCATCCAGAGTGGGGATGCCAACCACACCAGTTTCTGAGGGTTCCGTCTATGTACAAGAGCTCTCACAACTTAAGGGACTGGAGAAACAGCTCAGTGTTTAAGAGCATTCACCGCACCTCTCTCTGAGGATTAGAGTTTGGATCCCAGCAACCACATCAGGTCATTCGCGAATGACTGTCATTCAAACTCCAATGGATCTGTTGCCCCCTTTTGGCTTCTGTGGGCATCTACACACATGCGTGAATACACACACATAGATATAAAAATCAAAAGTTAATCTAAAAAACAATAGTCTACAGTGGCCTGTGGCACTGGCTGATGGTGTCCTCCATGTCGCAACCACGGGGGTAGGATGTCTTATTCTGTCACCTGTGGGCTCATTTCCCTTCTTCCAGTCCCCCCCCCCACATGTCCCTTACCTCCCTGTGTGCTCAGAGGCACCACCAGAGGCTCCTCATGGGGCGGCTGCTGTGGCACTCTAGTTAAGATGTGAGGCACCCATAAGAGTCCCCCAGAGATGCGTTACCGTTGGAAGGATGCCAGGATGACCTGGATTTTGCTGAGGATCTCCAACCTGACCTTGCACCTGCTCTGGCTTTGGAACTCAGTCTTTCCACATTGTGGTTCTACCCGCTTTTCACTATAGCTTTAAAACTGGAGTTCCACCCAGGAGGAAGCAGGGTGCTGAGAGAAGCTCCGATCCCAACCCATCCGGAGGGAGACCGGCAGTACTCAGTTCCTCAAACCTTATTTCTCAGTTCTCCCAGTCAACAGAGTATGATCAGATAAAGGAAAACTAGGGGCTTCAGTACCCAGCTTAGGACAAAGGCCTTGCACTCAGACTTGTGACCATCCTTGGGGACCACAGGGTCTCTCTGAAACTAGGGTGAAGCCTTCAGGGCCTTGATTATTCCCCTATGGGCATTCATAGAGTCTGTGTTAGGAGAGACGGAGGTTACTGTACAGTATGGAATGTTCAATAACACGCTTACCTTTTACCCCCACAAACCAGGAGTACCCATGCATGAAGCTGCGCCCCTTCTGAAATGTCTGAAAGCACTCTAAAGGCACACATGTCTCAAGTGCCCCTCTTTGAGAATTACTGTGCACAGAGCACACGTAATGCAGAGCTTGCACAGGTTAACACTCAAGATGTGAATACCTACCCCTCGCCTGGCCCACCACTAATTCCATAAAGGCGTTGATCCATTACATCAACCCCAAGCCCCTGGCCCATGGCAGCACAACTCCGATTGTCTGTAAATTAACAAGAGCTACCAAAAGCAAGGCCACACACAAACACAACCACTGGATCCTGGAACCTTCCCAAGTCAAGACACATCAGCTAAGACCACCCAGGAGCCACCTAGAGTCAGGACAGGCTAGTGGCAGCAGGACAGAGTCATGCTAATAAAGGTGGGAGGAGCAGACAGCAGCCCACTGCATCCACCACAGTCACAAGGAGCCATGCTCTGCTTGGTCCCTTGTATATTAGCAGAAAGGACTGTGGCTTGAGACACAGGAGCCCAGTCCACATTTTGCCACGGATGACCTGAACATGAGCAAGACTTTGCCCTGCTTTGGGTCTCAGTTCATGACTGGGGCATAACCACCAGCACGGAGCAGCGGCTGTCAGCCTGAGTGGCCACATTAGATTCATTATATAGAGCTTGTAAAATTGTGATGCCCTAGACCCATCCCCAACCAAGTTACATCAGCAGTCCCGGCATGCTAAACAATGGCCGAGGTGGTGGAGACGAGGCACTATGTTCTAAGGGACTGTGGGAAAGCCCTTTCTTTCTCCCAGACAAAAGCTCAGAAATGAGAAAACAAGGGACAAGTCAGCTCTCTAAGCCATGGTGGCTGGAGCGCTGCAGGTGACAGCACGAAAGCCTGACGCCAGGACTCATCAGACCCACTCTGTCAGTTGACCGCAGTGACCAAAGGCCCAGCCAGGGTCTGGTCTGTGCTGTCCATTAACAGCCATTCTGCAAGGCTTGGGCACACTTGCTCAACAAAGACCTAGCCCCTCTAAAGACCCACGACAAAGGCTCTTTCCTAGTCTATCTCGACCCCCACAGCACATGCCTGTGCCTCTCTGCCATTTAAGACGTGGCAGGTGTGAGCCTGTAAGAATGCAGAGGGCAGAAAAGCTCAGGGCTGAGCTGACCTACTCTCAAGCGTCCAGCCTGCATTATGAGCGGAAGTGGGGCTCAGCATAAGGGATACGAGGCCCTGTCTGTAACTTCGGACACAGGGAGAAGAAGGTGGTTACGAATGTCAAGCCCAATGTCCTGTGCCATTTTCAGGGATAGCTGGCTAGCTTGTATAGGAGGAGGCACTGTGTGGCCGTTGGTGCTGCACCACTTCAGGGCAGTGGGAACAGCTGTGTCCTCCATAAGAGGGCAAACTGCCCTGCAAGCCAGTTGAAGGTCTGAGGACACACAGGTGACAGAGAGGCCACTGAGAGGGACACAGGAGACCCCCCTCACGATGCCCCACTTGCAACCAGCTCCTCGTCATGTGCCCAGACTGCCTGAGACATCCCTTCCTGTCCTCACCTCTTGTCTTCCCATCAGCCCCCAATGGTCACCAATCTGAGACTCATAGGACTGTACAATGACAGGGCCTTGGACCCATGATGTGCCTGGGCCCCTGGGTCCTTGAAGGCTTCCCTTTCCTCTCAACCAGATGTAAATGCCCTGTCATCAGCTCTGGGTCTCAGATAGACCCCTGACCTTTTCCCTCATACACACCCAGTAGTACCACACATACCACAGAGGCCAGCTCTGAGCATGGATCCCAACTCAGTATGGCCACCTGGGGAGGGCCTCTTGTTCAATTCTCTGCTTTCTCTGGCTAGACTTCAGGGACCCTTCTGACACTCTCCTGGACCACAGGCTGGGCCAGCGTAAACCCATGCTCATCATCAGGCAGGCCTAGTGTGAGCCCCAGGGGAAAGAAAGGTGGAGATGCCAGGAGCTTTCACTCCCACACAACCATGGGATGACTTCTGGGTATTCCCTGGAGCAGTGCCACCCAGGCAGCAGAAATCTGCTTTGGAAGAAATGTCCCTGGTCCAGCCTAGGTTGTAGATATTTTCTTCTTCTGCAGGAGTTCTACCAGGAGCCATGGCCTACAGCCTAACTTCTGCAGCCCACTTCCTGCAGCCCACTGGTCTGGCCACAGGCTCGCCTCTAGAACCTCTGATGGAAGCCAGGTAGTTCTTAGACCCTGTCAGCAGTAGTTCTGGAGCAGCCTAAAGAGCGCTGAGGGCCTGGAGGCCCGAGACACTCCCTTGGCCCATCCCAGAGGCTGGTGAGGTCCACTGGAGCTGGCAGGGACGGACTCACCTCATCCAGTTGGCCTTGGTCTCATCCGACCCATCTATAGACTTGTAGCGGTTGTTCTTGTCCACAATCTGGAAAACAGAGAGACTGTGTAGAGTGGGGCATTAGAGAAGGGGCTCTCACATGCCTCGGCTCCTTACCTGGGGCCCAGGGCTCAGCTCCAGTCTCACCTCTTTTCCCTCTGCCCTCCTACACTGTCTCCACTACCACCCCACCTGGGATCAAGAATCTTTGCTGCTCTACCCACTCCTATTCTTTTAGAGACCCTGGAGAAGACCCAAGAGGAGATGGTGGCGGAATCGGAATTCTGGCAACACAGCCCATGATCACCACTCCCCACATGTACCAGGCTGCACCACAAAGCTGAACACAGCCCTTTTCTCTCTCTCTCTGGTGTGTCTGCAGGGGATGAAGGTCATCACCAGGACCCAGGCACTTGTGATCTAAAAGGGCACCTCCTCTCCCTAAACTTCAAATAGTCAAGACCCTTGGGACTTGGGGTAGGGTTGTGTCCAAATGTCTATCCTCCTCAGTCATTCTGCATATTGAGGGCCAGTGAGACAATGGAATTTTAGGTTATCGCTTACTTTCTTTTTGGAGGGTAGGTGTCTTCTGATACAGATTTTAAGCTTGAAGGTTAAGGTGGTAAGGCAGAAAGAGAGGCACTCAAGAAGGAAGCTACACCAGGGATCATGGGTGTTGGCTTCTGTAGCAGTTACTATGTCTGTTTCTCTCTCAACCCAAGCACAAGCAACCTCCTGTTAGTCTACTATGGACCTTCTGTAGGCAATCAGTCTATAATCTTTCCATTTGTTCAATACTTGACATCATTTTCTACTGCGTTTTTTGAAGTAAAGATTGTAAAATTCTCTTCACTACTAAATGAGCACCTCTGCATTTCAGTTCTGGAAATTTCTCAGCTTTTATTTATTTATCTATCTATCTATCTATCTATCTATCTATCTATCTATCTATCTATTC